TCAAAATAATTTGCTGGGCCAAAGCTTTCCTAGTGTTTGGTGGTTATGATGCAGAGAGGTGAAATAAGTTGAATAACGAAACCCCTTTGCTAGTGCTAGGTTAAGTAAAGTACAACAATCTGTTTCATTAAAATACAGTGGTTGGGGGGGAAAAAAGTTTATTCTCTTGAGTAAACATTTTAAAAGCCATTTGTTGTATCCCTTTGTGAATCTTATTAGGTTTTACTCTTCTAAATCGTAATGGACACTACATTTCTAGACAGGACAGTAAACATTATAGTAACTGTCATATGGGCTTTATACATCAGCAAAGATGTGGCAGTGATTTTATTAAGTCCTTATGGTTCAAATACTTCTCTTTAAGTGACAGATCTGATTAGGAGAGTTTGTAAGAGTTTGTTTCTTTTGCTATCAACCCAGTGGGGTAACCCTGAAAATGGAGTGTTTGGGCCTTCAAACTGCAAATTAAAGTCCATGAAATAAGAACTGTGGCACAAGGAAATCCCTCTTTGACGATTATGAGTCATTCTACATGCCCTTTTTTATGCCAAGAAAATGCAGAAAATACAGGGTTTTAAACAGAAATACAGAAAGTCCTTACACAACTTTTAAAATTATTCCTGCTTTAAAATGGTCAGAAGAAAAAGTGAGACTACTGGCACTGTTGTATCCGTGCAGACTCACAGTTACTAGAAAGTAGCCTTTTACTCAGCTCAGTGCTATATAGGTTTAAAGGGAAAATCAAATGAAAGCATTTTTGTTAAATACAAATGTAATTAGACCTCACGTATTTGCTGTATGTAAGTTTTACTTTTTGTGCTTCTAATACCTGCTTATTGACCTGCAAGGCAGAGGAAGACTAAAACGCTCATCACTGTTTTCTTATGAATCTGATATTTGTGAGTTGGACAGTTCACTAACACTTAAACCATGTTTCAGAAAATGATGTAGCAAACAGGGACTTGGGAATTGGAGACACATAACGTAGAGAGATACAGACTTTAGTTATACAGAGCAGTGCACATGCTGAGTTTTTCACACACATGTTGCTATTAGGAGCATTACTCATGAAGAAGTTTAACTCTCCACTGTAAAACCTGTACTTGCCCACAGAAGAAAAAGATATGCTGGGATATAGATGCTAGGGTTCTTTGTGTCAAACCAAGCATGATTCTGATTGCAGTGCCACCTAGGAAAAATAGGATTAAGTCCACTGTACCGAATACAGATCCTTTAATATAAAAGGAGATGAACTTCTGGTCCATTAGAAGGAAAAATGATGTCTGCCTAGGAATGCAGGAATCTCAGAGCACGCTGGTTAATTGGATAGCTTTTCCTTTTCTTTCATTTTTTTTAAAAAAAGAAACACTCAAAACCAAAAAGCAAGTAATTGCTGTTCAACCGGAGGAATCCTATGTTCAAAGTAGTCAAAGTCCCTGTTATTACACTTTCATTTTCACCTGGATCTTGTCAACAGTGTGTTGAATGACTTTGGATTTTTCCATGGAAGAAAGAATCGCAAAATACAGTATGACAGCACCTGTGTTTGGTGCTGCTTCTGTTTCACTCATAACGACGAAACCACCAGCACTAGAGACTTGTAACCAAGTATTCTCCTGCTCAGCACAAGCAGAAGGTCTCCAGTGAAGGGTGGCACACTGCAAAGCTTCTCCCGTTCAAGTGTTACTTCCTCTGTTAGCAAAGCTCCAACACAAGACCACTGGATGCATCTCTAGCCATTCTTCTTCCTCTGTAGGCACCCACCAGAGGGAAGATAGTGGTGGCTTTTTGAACTTGTCCATTTGGTTCTGGGATGAACTTTTTGATTTTCTGGCCACTAATCGAATCCTGATTTAGCTCTTTACACGTGCATTTGAGGGTGGTGGTGGTGTTACCTGATAGGGCTGCTGAATTCCTGTCTTCTCTAAGGCATGTTTGCAGATAACCTGAATTCTCCAGGAAACAGTGGCTGGGCTGGCTTTTAGGCAAAATGCAACAGAAAAAAAGTACCGAGTGCTACAACCTTGCAACTATTTTTGAGTTTACCCACTTGCATAGATAAATGTCTCAAGTCTAGACACACAGACAGTAGGTTTGGCTCACCAGGAGAAATACGGGATCAGTGTTAGTGAGTCTGCATACTATAATGGCTTAGGAAGGTCGTTTCATTTTTGTACCTTCCACTACTCTTCAATACTGATCAAGAAATTTAGTCTGGTTATTCTTCTATGAACCTTAATTTGTGCAGCTGGCTATTTTAAAGTGGCATAAACTTCTGTTTGGCAAGAAGGGAAATTAAGGAAGAAAATCAGCCCATAATGTTCTTTTCTATCTGGCTAATAGGCTCCACATGTATTATTCTATTACAGATAATTCTAATATGTAATTTATCAGGTTGTACTGTCAATGCATCCTGCCACTCTGCTAGAGACAGAGGCCCAAATGTCTGCCCAAATGCAGACAGCTGATGATGGCAGGATATCTCCAGGGGAGCAGATCCGCCAGACCAAGGGTGGGGAAAGGCAAACAGGAGTTGTTTCAGAAACCAGAAATGGTCTCTCCAGGCAAAGCTACTAAGAAAACAAAGAGGGAAGGCAGCTAAGGATGAGGGGAAAGCGAAGGCTGGGCAGCACCCACAGCCCTCCAGTGGAAGATGGTGCGAGTGGCAGTGTATCATCTGCAGACGGTGCTCCTTGCAGGAGGTCAGCAACTCAACCACCCACTTCTGGGTCTCACTACTGATGTCGCTGAGTGTTCTTTTGACAGGACGCTGCCACGCAGAATTCCTTGTGTAACAAGCCTTACTGAAACTAACCCAGTTGTTACTGGCCTCAAACTGCTTCAGCTACAAGTCCGACTTAAACTGAGTCATGTTTTCGGCTCCCAGACACTACCTGCATGCAAAAGCTGCTAAATAAGGCCAGCCATTTTGGGAGCAGAGTTGGTGACTCACACGCTGACCCACTTTCCCACGATGCAGGGTCAGCAGCCGGGCACAGTGCAAGGCGTGCAGTTGAGGCGCAGCGGGGTCCTGTGGCAGCCCGGCTGCGGCCATGCGGCTGCACCACGCTGCTCTCAAACACACTCTGCATCTTCAAGCACGCTAAATTTATGCCTGTGCTGTGCAGCTGGTTGGACATTAGGCCTGTTCAAGTGAAACGCGCAATGTTGTATTAAGCTCATCTAATGAATACAGTCTAAAAAACTAGAGGGTAAGAAACATCTTCTCTAACCACATCAAGCAATTAATACATCTTCTCCATATATGACTATTTTTTTGCATTGTGTTATTGAAGATGACATGCAAAAGGAGCAAGATCCCAAATTTATCCAGTGGCCTTGCACTTCTAGACTCTTCTTTGAGTAGGCAGACAAGGAGAAAGTAATTGGTGATAGATGCAGAGCCAGAGTAGGCAGAGCAAAAAGCAACCGTAAAACGCTGAAAAAACAACCCCTCAGAAAGCAAAGCTGGGAATTTGAATCACTAGGACAGCTGAGGAGGGTGGTGGGGTGCAAGACGACCACAGGACTCCGAGATGACTCTATAAGAGTTATAAATCGAAGACTTTTATTTTATCAGAGGCTGCGCTTTTATAGTCCAAAATCCCTTAGTCACACTACATAAGCATTTCTATTGGTTACATATATGTGTCCATATTATCTAAGCTAATACATGATTGGTTACTATCTTACATGTCACCGCCCACATCCGGGTCAGGTTGGTTTACTTCCTCTTCCTGTTGGTTTACTTCCGGGTCGTTCTCTTGCCGCATCGTCGTACTTTCTCTTTCTTTAACCCTGTGTCATCTTAAGGTGGTCTTTCTAAATTAAGAATTCTTAAGGTGGTGATTCCAAGCCATAGAACTCTATATAATCATATCCATTTTAGTTCATGAAGCCTCCAACAGTGGGGGCTTCTTGAACTTGTCCATTTGGCTTATGGGATGAACTTTTTGGTCTTCTGGTCATTAATTGAATCCTGATTTATCATGCGCAGTTGCGGCGATTGAGAGACTGGACACCGCTTGATGCAAGCAAAATGTCGGTGTATTGTGTGCAGTCGCTTCCTTATATATGCTTACATTGGCTGCGTATTTTAAACTGATTGGTTCTTTTGCGCGCAGCTGCATTTGATTAGTCAGTGATACACTGTTACACTAACAAACACCTCTTGCCTGTCAGACACAGCCCCTGAGGCCTTTCTCAGCAGGGTGCCTGGAACTTGTTTTTCTCAGGGTTGAAATTCCTGTTTTTCAGGTCCTTGTTTACTCCTTTTATGGTCATGACTTGAGCAGCACTCAGGGTCCTGCTCCCCAGGCCCTGTCCTACACACAGTATCAAGACTCTAGATCTAAATGTTCACACAGTAGACTCAGAGAAACAGACTTTCTATTTCTATTGGCTTTGCATATCAGCACCACAACTAAAAGGACACTTTCTGGAGCATCAGCCCCTGACTAGGTCTTTGTGTACACAAAGCCAATAATATTAAGACTTTTTCTTCTTTTTTTCCTTCTCTTAGGACCAACCCAACCACATGGCTAAATCCAAGACTGGAAAATCTGTCTAGCAATACATCCATTCTTGTCTCACTCCTCCTTAAAACAGAAGGTCATAGCTACTACATACCTTGGTGTGTACCATACCTACCACAACAGACCAGCTACAGTTTGATCCCAAAAGCTGTATTTTGGTACTTGCTCAGAAATACAGAGGTCACGCTAGCATCCATGCTAGTGAAAAACACTTTCTAGAAAGCAGACAGATTATTGATTTTGTTAGCATTGGGGGTGGGTTTCTAGTCAGCAATGAGAGTCCATGCTGGATGACTGCTCTGTTCTGGTTTAGAGAGGTAAGCATTGAGGTCCCTCAAGTTCAACATCTGTGCTAGCGAGCTGACAGCTAACAGCTTCATCAGTCAAGGTAGGTTTTTCACACACACTTGTTAAATCCAACCTTTTCTCTTCTCTCTTTATGCAGCCTGAGCAAAAGCTGTGGCCATGTTTGCTCACAGCATGGATAACAGCAGACGTCTTTCTGTTCTCCCTACCTTATTGCTTCTGCTGCAGAACAAGAGCTACCCCACAACCTCCATCCCTCCTGCTGGATATGAGATGACAGAGTCACCCAAAGGAGCCAGCTTAAGCAGGAACCACACTGTCTCGCAGTATGAACTGAAGCCAGAGGAACTTGCAGCAGCCAGCATCATTCTGGGAGCGCTGTGGCTGGTTTCTGTCTTTGGAAATTCCCTTGTTTGCTTAGTGATCCACAGGAGCAGGAGGACACAGTCCACCACTAACTATTTTGTTGTCTCCATGGCTTGTGCAGACCTTCTCATCAGTGTTGCAAGTGCACCCTTTGTGCTGCTTCAGTTTACCTGGGGCAGGTGGACACTGGGCAACGTGATGTGCAAGCTGGTAAGGTACATACAATACCTCACCCCCGGAGTCCAGACGTACGTGCTCCTCTCTATATGTGTGGATCGATTCTACACTATTGTCTACCCTCTGAGCTTCAAAGTGTCAAGAGAGAAAGCCAAGAAAATGATTCTGGCCTCTTGGCTATTTGATGCTGTATTTGCATCGCCAGCTTTCTTTTTCTATGGCTCCAACAGCGACGACCACTGCAACTTTTTTCTCCCTGATTCTTGGGAAGGAGCAGTCTATGGTATCAGCCACCTCCTGGTTGTGTTTTTGATCCCATCCATCATCATTATCCTCTTCTACCAGAAGGTCATCAAGTATATTTGGAGAATGGGCACTGATAGCATGACTGTCAGGAGGACAACAAACATTGTCCCAAGAGCAAAGGTGAAAACCATCAAGATGTTCTTGATGTTGAACGTGGTGTTTCTCCTGTCCTGGCTTCCTTTTTACGTGGTACAGCTGTGGCACCCTCAGGAAACAGACTACAGAAAGAGCTCCTTGGCTTTTCTGGTCATCACCTGGATCTCTTTCAGTTCTTCAGCCTTTAAGCCAACCCTCTACTCCGTGTATAATGCAAACTTCAGAAGAGGGATGAAAGAAACTTGCTGCATGTCTGCCATGAAATGCTACAGAAGCAATGCATACACCATCACCACCAGCTCCAGGATTGCCAAAAAAAATCATGTTGGGATTGCAGAAATCTCAGCTCCAGCCAGAACTGTCACCAAAGACTCCATCTATGATGCTTTTAACAGAGAAGCAAAGGAAAAAAAGCTTGCCTGGCCTATTCAGTCCAATCCTCCAAACACATTTGTCTAGTTGGCTTCACTGCTTTGAAAAACTACTGTATTCCCCCAGAACAAGGAGCTTTCTCTCGTTTTTGAACCAATGTGTATTGACATATTTTTAACACAGCTTTGAGGAAAGAAAAAATAAAAGATGTTTTATTTTATTAAATGCTTTGATTTTGATGTGTCCAGTCTATTTCCTTTCAGTTACATTCTACTTTATGGAACTACTCTCCCTTAATCATGAGCATTGTTTTATTACAGAACAGAAAAGCTCTTACACTCTCAGTTTGTAGGGGAAAAAGGGAAAGAAAAAATACTGCTTTCGTTGATCGTTGGCTATGGTGTATACGTGCATAAAACCACCCAACATCAACCAAAATCTAACCAATCATTATATCCCTATGAATAGCCTTGCCCTGGGGTCTTCATTCTAGTTCAGAACCCATGGGTAAGGCAATGCTGGTGTCACTCGGAGCGCACTGACATCAGTGGTGAAATTCCCACTGTCCAGATAGGGTCAGCATCAGGCCAGTGCTGAATGCTTTTGCATCTTCAGTGTTGTGCCTCTCCAGAGGCACAAACCGCCTGAGGAAAGTCCTCCCCTTGGTCTTGCCATCCCTGCCTCCTCTCAGGCTGCTCCTATACTCAGCCTGGGGCACCTGCCCAGAAGCCAGAGGTGGGCATGGACTGGGAGAACACCTGTGGGTCAAAAGGTTCTATTGCTGTACCAAGCACCCAGGGGACTCCTCATGTCTTAAAATTAGCAAGTCTCCTGGCTGGAGTCCCTTCTTCTGAGGTACAGATGGGGCTCTTCGGCACCACTCTGTGCTCTATGACAGTGATGTGCTCATGAGGAACGGACACTGGCACTTGTTGGGGTGGCACACGGGCACCCACACACTGGCTCTACAGAGGCTGACCTTGGGCTCCACCAACATGGGATGTGAAGCTGCAGCGCAGGAGAGGGCTGTGGGAGGTGTTGGGCTGATAGGGTAGCTGGGCCAGCCCTAGAGCCCAGCTGAACAGGGGAGTAGGCACCTATACCTTGTAGATACGTATACCCTGGCTCCACCAGCTTGAAGTATTTACTGTGGAGGTGATTTTTGACTTGCTCCATTGGGATGTAGGCCTACTCCTATCATAAGGATGAGGTAACAACATTGTTAGGTCCCAGAAACTGTATTTCAGTGCTTGCTCAGAAATACAGAGGTCACTCAAGCATCCAGACAGGTGAAAAACACTGCCTAAAAAGTAGACTGATTATTGAATGTGTTAGCATTGTGTGAGTGTGGGAGTAGTCAGCAATGAAAGTCCACGTTGGATGACTGCTCTGTGCTGCTTTAGCGAGGTAAACATGGAGCTCCCCCGCCAAGTTCCACTACTCTCCATCTGTGCTAGTAAGCTGTTTGGCAGCTACCAGAACCATAACACCCTTGAAACCCAGTTTTAAACTCTTTTTTTGCCTCATGCTCACAGATGTGGTGATGTTCACTACTCCATCTCAGAGCTGTGAAGGCTGTGTTATCAGTAGCCAGGCAGGGCAATGTCTGTACAGGGCAGGATGAAAAGAAAGAGGCAGGACCGCAAGGGTCTGGCAAGCAAAGAAGGGGGCTACTTGAAAAGGAGAAATGGGGGAACAGTAATCTGAGTCATTCACATTTGAAAAAAACAAGGATTGGACTCAATCTGGCAACTCCCACAGCCTGGAAAACTTGCACTTTGTGACAATAAAGGACTGAGCTCAGAAATTAAGCACATCCCAAGGCCAAGACAAGGTGACTGGGTCCCTTCTCACAGCTGGGCAAGGGCTTCCCCGTGACACAGCTATGGGCAGAAGTTCCGTCTTGTGTGTTGGTTGATCGTGACAAACCTTCAGTTGCCCCTTAGGTCACCCACAGACCTG